GTTCCAAGTCTGCGCTATTCCTTTCTGCAGTCACCTTGGGTTCCAGGAAAGAGAGAAAAGTGAGGCAATGCCTTTTTAATCATTGTGTGACAAAGGCACAACCTGCCCCCAAAAAGAAAAGTGAACAGTTCAACACGACCACCTGCCAAACAATAGTGACACGCCTTGTTCCTTCTCAGCTCAAGTGATAAAATGCTAACAACTTCTCCAGAAGCCCCTCCAAAGAAGAAGATTAAAGTAATGATCCATCAGGCCAACCTGGGTCTGGAAATGTTCAACCTTATGCATGCCTCTCTCCTTCTACTCCTAGTTCTTTGTTTAAACCTGTAGCTCATGTCTATATCCCAAACATGGCTGAATCTGGGCTGAAGTTCCCTGTCTTCCCATGGCATGTGTGCCATGTAATAAGTCATACTCTGACCTTCCCCATATCTCTTTATTTGGCACATGGGTGCAACTGGGTGTACTTAACATGTAGAAGTCCAGAAGTTCGGGCTCATTTTGGGGGCTAGTTTCAAATTTACTATTGTTATTTTTCCTATTACTATTACAGAGTTCTTCTAAATTCTTTGGATGTGTTGACTGAAATTCCACAACAACCCTAGAAAGCAGATACTATAGCTATCCCCCCTTACAGATGAGGAAATTCAGGTACAGAGAGATCAAATAACTTGCCTAGGATGACAGAGTTTATGGTCTGGGATTTAAATCCAGATCAACCCTGGCTTCAGATTCTTCTCTCAATGTGGAGAAGACACTGTGTCTTTGTCAGTGAAGTTGATGATGACAATTGTGCCATTAGCAAGATCTGTGCTTTGAGCTATTTTTTTCCCAGGAATGGGGATATCTTGAGCCACAGATCATCATCTACCCAGCCTTGGCCACAGTTACCAACTCAGGATTTTCAGATGCCTGGCAGAAGGGTCATATAGACAGAATGATCCAGTAGAGAAGGCTAGATAAAGCCTCAGGCATAGAAAATAACCAACTCTTACACCAGAATAGCTTAAGGAAAGTGACACTATGCCCTAAAACTCCTAGTCTCCTGGCCACCCGGATGTATGGAATAATCCAGCAGATTGAGACATTTCAACTGTCATAAACACCATTTATAGTTGCTAGTATAAACCTGTGAGAAAAAAGCAGCTTAAGCCTTGTGACTAGGCTATACACGCCTAAAAAATAACCACTTCTATTTATCTGTCTGCTTTCCCTAATGCACTGTGAGATCATTTAAAGGATATTAAGTGCTCTTATTGCTTGCTAAAAAAAATGACTGGACTAAGAATGAATAAAATCATTCCACAGGCACACACACGGTAGTAGGGAGGGTGATCTAAAAGATCCAATAGATGTCCAATAGATGGAATGGAGATTATTAAAAAATGTGGACCCTTAATTCTCCCATCTATGTGCCCCTTGCTGCTGTGGTTTGCTCCTCCCTTCTTTAAGAGGTGGAGTCTACTTTCCTGCCTGTGGCTTGTTTTGACCAAGGGAAGTGGCAGCTTGGTGCTGAGGAGGCCTCCAGAGGCCCTGCAGCTTCCTTACCATGGCATACCACGCAAGACTGCCAGCCCCCCTCCCCGGAGGAGAACAGCCCAGTGGGAGAGGAGCTGGGGTGGCCCAGCCAACCGCAACCTCAGCTGCCACTGGTGAAGCCATTTTGGAGCTTCCAGCCCAACCAATCCTCCAGTGCCACTTGATACAAATGGCACTGAATGAGCATAAGTGAACTACCGGGAGGTGGTGGAGCCTTCCAGAGGTGAGGTCTGATGAGAGGTCTTTAGGTTATTAGGGATCATGCCCTTAAAGTGGGTTGTGGGAACCCAGACCTCTCTTTGGCGATGGGGCAAATAGTTCTGCTCCAGCATGTGCTCCCACCAGGATGGGCTGCTCACCTTAGAGCCATAAGTAAAGAGGACCGGGCGCTCATGGGCTACAACTTCCAAAACTGTCAGTCCAGAAAACCTTCTCTCATTGTAAATTGGTTGGCTCAGACATTTGTTATACTGATGCACAGTACCCAATCTGAGACAGTTAGGAGATATTCTTTGCCCTTGACCTGTCGATTCCTCCCAGGTGACCCAGGGAGCCAGCTCTATGCTATGAAATCATGCGGCCAGCCTGTGTGAAGGTAGGCAAAGAACAGTACTTTTCTTACTGGACTGCTCAAATATACCAGGTGTGAGTGACCTAGGACAGCTGAAATAAACTCCCACAAACTGAATGGCAAAAAACAAAAACAAAAACAAAACAATAGAAATCTGGTCCTTTCTGTACCTGGAGGCTATAAGTCCATGTTCTCTTGGAAAGCTCTAGTGAAGAAACTTTCCTTGTCCTTCCTGGTTATTGCCGGCCGTCATTGGCATTTCTTGGTTTACAGCTGCTTTACTTTAACTTCTACCTCCGTCTTTGCTGGCTGCGGGGAGATATAGGCAGATATACCCTCCGTGTATGTCTCTTGCTTCTCTGTGTCCTGGGATTAAGGCCCAGGCCCAGTGCAAATTCAACTAATTCTTCCTGTAAGGATCCTATTTTTATACAAGATCACACTCTGAGGTTCCAGGTGGATGTGGACTTGAGGGGCTACTACTCCTGTATACTCGCTCCATGAGCACACTAGTGTATAGTGACCCTGCAGTTCTCCTGGCCATTGTCCTCACTCAGACTCTGAGGGTCTTGTGCACACCAGGGATCTACTTTGCTTCTCTCTGACCAGATGCTCACAGACGAGGGGGGCCCTCCTCCTTACACAACACTTGTAATCTGTGCTCTCTTTCAGCACAACGGAAGTGACTGTGATCTTCAAAAAGGCCACCTGGCTGCCGAGTAGGGTCTTCTTCTCTAGGTATGGGTTCCAGGACAGATTTGTATCTGTTGCTTTGCTGTCTTTCTTTAAATTGTGTCCATAAGAGCCTACTTGTTGTCACACTCACGTCAGTACTACATGATTGCATCACGATGTAGGAAACATCTCTGCATTTTCCTCCCCTCCTCCCAACTCCCACATCTTTTGAATTTTTTTTAAAATTCTTTTTCAAGCCACACGACAGACCCCAATGTTATATGATTGATGTTTCCCTCCCTTCTAGAAGTTTCTAGGCTTTCCCTCTCTCCTTCCTCCTGAGTCCCCTTGTCCAATGGACACATGTGGATCACAGCAGCATTGTATGGCTCAGCTAAGAGTGGTCTGAGGAGGAGGACACAAGGAGGATGGGGAAGAGGGCCATTGGGCACAGGAAAGAGGGGAAAGAAAAAGTTGGTAAATACAGCAGCAGACTCTTCACCTTGAAGAAGAATGGCAGATCACATTTGTTAGATCCCAAATGCCCTCCAGAAACAGACTCAGAAGCATCCAGAAATCAAAGAGCTCAGAGTTAATGACCCAAAGTCCCAGTCAGATACAAGTGCTTTTCTTAGAGCCAAGAGCAAATCCACTGGTTGACAGTGTGTTGATAGTGGAAGGACAATGTGAGACTAACATTATAACTAACACCTTAGCTTGGTGTCTTTGAAAGGCATTTGCATAACACGTTCCTAGTCAGATGACAAGCTCTGGACACTGTGTCCAGCTACTGACTGAAATGAGGTTTTGAGGACTTTTTGCCTGGCTGTCGTTGATCCTCTTGAACTCTGTTGCTAAGATTATAGGTGTGAGCCTTCTGCCAAGGGGCTCTTTTGTTGGACAGATAAACAACATGGTTAGCTATTTGGTCAAAGTCACATAATAAGAAAATGGGACAGCTGCAATTCAAATCCAAGTCTTATTATTCTCAGACCCAGGGCTATGGGGACATGTTTACATCTGCCACTCACCTTTATACCATGTTCTGCAGGGCTACTAGCTCCTCAGAATCACACAAAGGCACTATGGCCAATGCAGTACTATTGGGGATCAAGGGCACAGACTCCCTACACAGCTTCAACCAGAAAAGTTTTCATTTTCTCTACCTATTAATATCCTAATTTCATCTAAACAAATAGTTCCTGGAAGAATGAAAAAAATCCCATTATTCTGGACCACAACTGCTTCCTAAAATGAAGCACTACGTATGGTTTCTAGTCTTAATTCCATCACCAGTTTTCAGTGAGATCAGGCCAGTCATTTCTCCTTCCTCCTTATGCATGGAAAGCTAAATGACTGTGCTGAGATCCTACCATGCTTTCTTTTTTCTTTTTCTTATTTTTTTTGTCAGTCATGGGGCCTGAACTCTGGGCCTGGGCACTGTCCCTCAACTCTTCAGCTCAAGGATAGCGCTCTACCACTTGAACCACAGCACCACTCCCGGCTTTTTCAGCTTATGTGGTGCTGAGGAATCGAACCCAGGGCCTCATGCATGCATGGCAACACTCTACCACTGAGCCGCCTTCCCAGCCCCTTACAATGCTTTCTTAATTCTCCAGAGAAAATAGCATTAAGTGAAAGGCTCATTTAATATAGGAAAATGGCTAGACTGCTTGAATAAAACTCTAGATTAAGCTTAACTCCACTAATGGCAGCAAGTTACAGAAATGTAATTAGTCGCTGCGTTTAGCAATTGGAATTGTTCCTCAATATCCAAGGGAGATTGTTCCAGGACATTATCTCATTCCCACAGATGCTAGTCTCTTACATAAAATGGTGTGTATATATAACCTACACTCATCCTTCCTTATACTTTGGATCATTTCTAGATTATCTTCAACTCCAAATACAGCGTGAATGCTATGTAAATAGTTGTTACATGGAATTGTTTGGGGGATAAAAGCAAGGAAAAAAGCCTATACATGTTTAATACAGATGTAATTTATTTGTTTGAATATTTTCCATTCACAGTTAGTTGAATCTATAGGCATGAACCCAAGGAACAAACGTGGCCCCTGGTTGATACTTTGACTAATGGCTACCAATAGCTCATTTAAAACTAGGCCTTCAGAAGCAAACATGAGCCAGCACAGTAACCAGACCATGACAGAATACAGGATGTTACTAAACAATCCACAGAAGCAAAGTCACTTACCAAGAGAGTTGTAGCAAATGAATATATTGATCCTCAAAAAACTCATAGCTGGAAATGATACCACATTCCTCTATGGCTTGACCATTCTTATACCAAGTTACCTCCGGCTTGGGCTGGCCTGATGACAAGGGGGAAAATTATTATTACTGTAAGTAGTTTTAGAAGAAAAAGTCATAACGCTATGAACAAGAATGGACAATGAGTAATAGGAGTGAGCACAGAGGATGGAAAGCTTCCTCTCCTTGGTACAAGTGATTGAATAAGGCTACAGACATGTTATATGCCTCCATTGGCACTGTGCTAGAAATAAGGGAAGGAGGGTGCAAAATGGGAAGTACTATCCCCAGTCATAAGAGCTATTAAGAAAAATTGCTCAATAGACAAAGATATGAATGGTGTCTTTTCTCAATGTCATATGAGGACAAAGTCCCATCCAGTAAAGCTCTTAGGGGACATACATTGTTTCACTCAGTGGTTATTACTGACTAACACTGCTAGATTCAGCAGAGGCAGATATTAACTTGTAGCTTTTTAATCTAAGCACAGATGTAAGTTTCCATTCAGCAGAAATGATAATGTCCTAAGGACATTAAACACACAGCTGCATTTTATCCTAACATTATTAACTCACCAGAGTTGAATGAAGCCTTTGAAACATTAATTTCATATTATTCACTTTACTTTTTTGAAAAATTATACTTCAACAGTGCTCAAAGTCCACTGTGCATTATAGTACAAGAAGAGAAGAACAAAGTGGATTAGAAGAATAAAACTGCTATTTTTTTTCCTGAAGAGGAAGGAGTTGGGCATGGATTCTTTGCAGGTGGGGATAATGCATACATAAATGATGTTGTCACAGAAATTGGCCTGTGCTTTCCTCAGAGGGTTTCATACCTCCTGGTGATCAAGTCTGATGTTAGGCTAAGTGTGCTTTAAAAAATAAACCAGGAATGTCACCCTCCTGGGGCTTTTCCCTCTCTTGTCTTCAGGATATCCCAAGGATATCCATGTCACTGAGAATGTACCACATAGCCATGAAGGAAAGTCCAGTATTTGAAAACAATCCACTACTCTGCATATTCATCTGTTTTGTCTTATTTATTTAGTTATTTATTTTGGTCAGTCATGGGGCTTGAACTCAGGGCCTGGGCACTGGTGTCTTATTTATTATATTCTCCAGAGATCATACAGATGAGTAAGAATACCCTATATTCTTTCTTCTTTCTTTTTTCTTCCTTCCTTCCTTCTTTCTATCTTTTTTCTTTCTTCCTTCCTTCCTTCCTTCCTTTCTTTTTCCTCTTTCTGTCTTCCTTCCATTCTCACTTTCTCTTTCTCCCTTTTACTTTCTCTCTCTCTTTCTCCTCTTCTTCCTCCTTCTCCTCTTTTTTCTGTTCCGCTTTTGAGGCAGGGTCTCACTTTACAGTCTGAGCTGACTTCAAACAGCTTTCTCCCGCTACCTCCTAGGTGCTGAGATTGCAAATAGGTATCACAGCACAATAGCCATGAACACTTTATTCTAAGACCATAGCAAGGGGCAAGCATAAAGAGGCCAGGAAGGTAACAGAAGTGAGAGAAGCCTGTGCCCTGTGTGGGATCTGAGGATACTGAGAGCCTCCCTTCCTCTCTGAGCAGTGCCATCACTGTGCTTTCTGGCAGCTGTGGGTTGTTCCTCCTTGCCTCCTCCTTCAAGTGGGTGCCTGAACAGCTGCCCTGAATGCTAAGAGCCAAAAGGCCTATGTGCAAGACAAGCAGGGGCTTGCCTGGGTCTCTGACAGGCAAATGATGAAACCTCCCAAAATGAGCTTCCTTGAATTATCACAAAGCTTACTGAATAGAATTCATTTTTGCCCTGCATCTCCCAGTTTTGTTAGGCTCTTGTTTAGGGTTTATCTAATTGTTCCTTTTGAGTGCATGCATACTTTTGAAGTATATATACTGTGTATGAGCTGGGCGCAGGTGGCTCAAGTCTGTAATCTAGCTCCTTAGCTACTCAGGAGGCTAAAATCTGAGGATTGCAGTTCAAAGCCAGCCCAACTAGGAAAATCTGTGACACTCCAGTTAAGCACCAACAGGGTCAGAAGTAGAGTTGGTGTCTTAAGTGGTAGAGTTCTAGCCTTGAGCAACACAGCTCAGGAACAATGCTCAACCTCTGAGTTCAGGCCTCAAGAATGGTAGGAAAAACAACAACAAAACCCTGTGTATGGGAGGTGGTCCAGGGAAAGCTCCCCCCACAGCCCTCTGTTTATTCACACTGATCAGGACTGAATGATTTCCTCCAGTTTCCTAATGGCTTCATGGGTATTTCCCTTTAGGCCTAAATCATCAGTGAGAAATGAGAAGTGGTATTTTGTATCTTGTGGGTGGTTCTCTTTTCTCCCTTTTGTGCTGGAAATCTCAACTGAAAATCCTCCCTTCCTTACCTTTTAAGTTGTTTTCGTGGTAGTAGGGATGGAACTCAGGGGCCTTGAGCTTGCTGGGCAACTGCTCTCCCACTTGAATGATACCCCAGTCTAAATCCTCTCTTTAAGATTTTTTTTAACTTATTCATTTTATCTAAAGATGCTGTGGATGGAAACACAGGGCTTTGAGCATGTTAGGCAAGCCCTCTACCACTGAATTACACCCTCTCCTCTTCATGTTTCTTCACCCTCTGTGAGTCACATATTGACAGCCACTTGAACATTTCAGAACAATCTGACAAATGTGTGCAGTGACCTGAAGCCAAGTTTGGGTCCTGTCTGAACTCATGGAGACTCTTGAAAGATGCAGGTCAACCCGTGTCTCTCTACCTATCTAAATGACATCGTGAGCACAAAGGAAGCAAACTTTGCTGAGCACATGGTTGGCGACTCCCTCATCCAGACTGAAGACATGGTTTTCTTACAACTTCTGTTAGGAAAAGGCAGCCATTTCCAAGGTGGACACTTCTCTCTCTAGATTTAGGAAAGGAGAATAAAGGAGAAAAAAGATTTCTATTTCCCTTATGTTCCTAAGGGTAGATACAGAATTTAAGAAACAAAAAAGAACAACTTACCAGAGACAGGATACTAGTTCTTTGTTGAATTGCTGCCTCTAATTTTCTTTGAATGGGCAAGCAAATAATTACGTTTGCCACTGGCGATACCAATCAAATCCGACTAATTCTCCAATCTAGGAGTTCCTATCCTTGGCTTTTCCTGAACTAAACACCCTTTGCCTCAGTTTTAACCTGTTCACTTACTAGCAAGCAATAGGAAGTGAACTTAGCTAACTGGGCACATCAGTTAAAGGGTAACAGAAGAGCTCACAGTAGACTTTCTGAAGTAAAGTGACTCACACTATTCCTTGGGGGCCACAGGAAGTAGAGAGTGGATTGTGTGAGAAATTAACCAGCGTGGGAGTTACCTAACCAAGAACTACAGCATGAAATGAGGATGATCAGTGTCCAAGAAGTCATTATTTCATTACGTCTTTATAAGCCAAGAAACCTGGTCTGTAGAAAGGTGCTGGGGAGTAGGGTAGGGGGGTTGGGGGGGGATAGCTCCTCTAGAAATGGTTACCAGCTATGATGCAGCGAAGGACAGCATCAGACCTCTCCAGGACCTTTTGGGAAAGCAATGTGGATAAAAAACACAGCTTATGCCTCTGGGGCCTGTCCGAGTCTGTCATCCTTTCATGCCACGTGATCTGAAACAGAAAAGTGTTCAACATCACCATGTCTTCTGTGATTGAGCTGGCTTCCCCAGGAATTCCGGGAACCACATGGTATGGCTACACTAAGACTCAGAGAGGTTCATCAGCTGAAGATCACACAGCCCAAACTGGCTGCCACCCTGAGGCTGCCTTCACAACCGTGCGATGGGATTCCTTTAGCACATAGGGGCTGGCAGAGGTGCGCAGGGACAGCAGATCTGAGGCAGGTCTGAGAAGACAGGCTCCCTTCCCACTCACTCTACCTACTGAGACAGATTAGCCACGCTTATACTCTTTGCCACCCTGAGCTTGAGCACCACATCTGGCTGAATCCAGAATGGATCATCCCACTTCCCTTTGCAGCCCTCAGAGAGAAGAAAGAACCACACTGTGGTCAGCAAGAATAGAGAAGAGGCGGGTAGAAACTATAACATGAATGTGGGGATGCTGGGGGGCCCCCAAAAGAAGCTTGAACTAAGCTAATTGCAGGAGAAGCTGATCTAAAGGACACAAGTGTGCTGCAGGAGGGGAAGGCCCATTCCATGTGGCTTTGGCAACACCTGCTTAACATTTACACCCATCCCTACCTCTTTCCGCTTACTTCTCCAGGTTGTCTGATACTCAGAGAGACTGTAGCCAAGGGCAGTTAGGTTTCACCAACACCGAAACGTCTTCTGATGAGGATGCTGGTGGCTCATGCGTTCAATCCCAGCTACTCAGGGGGTGGAGAGTGGGAGGCCTGAAGTCCAAAGCCTGCTGAGGAAGAAAAGTGTGTAAATTCCATCTCAATCAACAGCCGGCACAGTGGCACTTTCCTGTCATCCCATTTACAATGGAAAGCACAGATAGGAAGATAATGGTCCCACCTGGCCCAGACAGAACACAAGACCCCATCTCAAACACAACCAGAGCAATCATTTCAACCGTAGAGTACCTGCCCAGCAAAACAGTAGAGTTTTAACAGTAGAGTACCTGTCTAGCAAAAATATAAAGTGCTGACTTCAACTCCTGGTTCTAAACACAAACAAACAACTATGATGATCATGAATGCGTAGTGGTAGAGGGGTGGACGATGTTTAAGGCCCTTCACCTTAGCAGCTGGCTTCAGCCACCTGATTTACTGGGCCTACTTCAAGAGGAAAAGGAATTATTCCTTGTTCAAGTAGGGTGAGGAATTTTATGATGGTGACAACAAAAGTACAGGGTCAGGTCCTTCTAGACTGGGTGCAAAGACCCTGACCTGGAGTCCTAGGCCAGCTCTTACTAGTGGACACTACACTTGGAACATTCTGCTCACAAATACTAGAACATTCTGCCAATAATGAACGCCGGACAGTGCCCCTTGAAGGCCTCCTATATTGCTGCTAAAGTTCAAAATGATTCCTTCCTCTTACCATCAGGTTTAGCACAAGGTAAGGTCTTGGAAACAAAATGCATTCCCAAATCACCTCCCTCAGCATGGCATCCCCACCCTCTCTGATAAGGTCGTACTAGATTTAAGAGAACTCACTACCTTCCCTCCTCAGGGCATGCGCAAAAAGAACCCTGTGCTTAGACCCGGGGCTTAACTGACTCACCTGATGGGTAACCAAGACTGCAAAGTTCAAGAATTTACAGGTTAGCATGAAAAAGCAACAAAAGTGCTGGGGTATGCATGGACTCTTGGGCTGGAAGAGAAATTAGATGAGAGAAGTTTGAAGACAAGATTGACAAGCCCAAGGGGGGGGGGAGAGGGAGGGAGGGAAGGAGAGAGAGAGACAGAGACAGAGAGAAGGTTTCACAGAATTTTGTTTTATAGTTGTGAACTGGGGCCTTTTGATATTCATTAAGAAAGGCTTGAATTGGATTTCCAATTATTTATTGTTCCCGAATTTCTATAGAGCCTGGATCACATGGGGCCTCTGATTAAAGCATACCCATTCTATTTAAGAGTTGGCTGAGCCGGGCGCAGTGGCTCATGACTATAATCCTAGCTACTCTGGAGGCTGAGATTCTGAGGATCATTGTTCAAAGCCAGCCCCAGGCAGGGAAGTCCGTGAGACTCTTATCTCCAATAAAACCACCAGAAAACCAAAAGTGGTCCTGTGGCTCAAGTGGTAGAGCGCTTGCCTTGAGCTGAAGAGCTGAAGGACAGTACCCAGGCCCAGAGTTCAAGTCCCACAACAGCAACAACAAAAGGAGTTGGCTGAGCTCTTTGTAATGTGGATGGCAAATTAGTTACACAGAATTGGAAGCAAATTCTTCTATGACATCAAGGATAGGTGCCTCCATTCCCGATTATCTTACAAACATGTTTGGTAGCTGAGGAATTTGTTTCAATTGATATAAAAGCCTGGATTTAGTAACTATTACAAGTGTTCCTCTGTATCAAAAGGGTATGCTGCTCCAGTCATTCACACGAAATAACATCATACCTATGCACATCCTCTGTCATGCTTTAAATCATTTCTAGATTACTTTTTTAATAACATTTGGCAGAATGCAAAGTAACGTAAACAGTTGTTAGACAATTTTCTGAGTGAAGTGCATGAGGCTCATTGCGATACTTGTGGGAAATGTCAACTCCTATAGTTTGTTGACTCCGCTGGTATCTTTCTCATGTCTCTTTTTAAAAAAAACAGCTCTTGGGGCTGGGAAGGTGGCTCAGTGATAGAGCGCTTGCCTTGCATGCCTGAGGCCCTGGGTTCGATTCCTCAGCACCACATAAGCAAAAAGAAAAAAGCCGGAAGTGGTGCTGTGGCTCAAGTGGTAGAATGCTAGCCTTGAGCTGAAGAGCTGAGAGACAGCGCCCAGGCCCAGAGTTCAGGCCCCACAACCAGACCCCCCCAAAAAAATAATAAATAAATAAAAATAAAAAACACCTCTACAGAGACAATTCATATACCATACAATTCGTCTGCTTAGGAAAGTCTACAGCACAATGGCTTCCATTGTAATTGGGGTCTGCAACCATCACTGTAGTAAATTTTAGAATTTCTCACTATTTTTGTGTGCTAACCCTGGGGTTTGAACTCAGGGCCTGGGTGCTGACCTTGAGCTTTTTTGCTCAAAGCTACTGCTCTACCACTAGAGCCACAACTCCACTTCTGACTTGTTGCTTAATTAGAGATAAGAGTCTCAGGGACTTTCCTGCCCATGCTGGCTTCAAACAATGATTCTCAGGTCTCTGTCTTCTGAGTAGTAGGATTACAGATGTGAGCCACTGAGGTCTGGCTTCTCATTACTTTTTTTAAAAAGCAGCCCTGTATCTCCCTAGTTCCCCATTTCCATACCCTATCCCAACACATACACAACCCTAGGTTACCACTAGTCTGTTTTCTGTGTCTGTAGATTTGTCTCTTCTGGACATTTCATATGAATAGTCTCTTTTACTTGGCATAATGCTGTTAAGGGTCATCCATGAACCGTATAACTGCCCCTAGTGCCACCCTGGGTAGCGTATGGAGGAGGGGAAGGTACAGACTTCCTTCCAGTGATTAGCAGGGAGAAGGGGTGAGAGAGGGAACAGACAACTCCTATTTGGAACCTAGGACAGTAGCAGTGCCCTTCACCAAAAATGCAGAGTCAGTGGGGAAAAAGGTCAATTGTCTTCAAAATGCACTGGTGGTTTATGCCTTTAATCCTATTAACTCAGGAGGTCAAGGTCTGAATTAAAGTTCAAAGCCAGCCCAGGCAGGAAATTCATCTCCAGAAAAGTCAGAATTAGAGCTGTAGCTTACATGGTAGAGTGTTAATCTTAAACCAAAAAAAAAGCTCAGGAGCTGGATGACAGTGACTCATTTACGTAATCCTAGCTACTCAGGAGGCTGAGATCTGAGGATTGCAGTTGGAAGCCAGCCCAGGCAGAAAAGTCCATGAAACTCTTATCTCAAAAAACTACTCAGAAAAAGCCAGAAGTGGCACTGTGGCTCAAGTAGTAGAGCAATAGCCTTGAGCAAAAAGAGGCTGGGGGGGAGGGGGGCTAGGAAGGTGGCTCAGTGGTAGAGTGCTTGCCTTGCATGCATGAGGCCCTGGGTTCCATTCCTTAGCACCACATAAGCAAAAAGAAAAAAGCTGGAAGTGGCGCTGTGACTCAAGTGGTAGAACACTAGCCTTGAGCTGAAGAACTGAGGGACAGCGCCCAGGCCCAGAGTTCAGGCCCTACGACCTGACCCCCCCCCAAAAAAAAAGAGGCTCAGGGACAGTGCCCAGGCCCTGAGTTCAAACCCCAGGATGGGTGCATGCGTACACACACACACACATACACACACACACTCCAAAGTATATTCCCCATACTGCCCTGGAAAAAAAGAAGCATGTTTCCCTGTGAGGGAAACGGGTGTGTGTGTAGAGAAAATAAATGTGATTTTTTTTTCCTTTGAGATCAAGTGTACTGATGTATTTCAATCTCCTTTTTGACCAGCCCACAGTTCTTCCTGGGAGCAACTTCTGGGCAGAAGGAGAACTCTCCACATTTCTAGAGACTTACCCAACAATTGTTGGGGGGGGGGAGGGGGGAGTACCAGCATGGAAGGAAAACACTCTCCTGAGCTGAGGCAGTGCATAACTGTGGACCAAGAGTAGGGACAACTCTAAATCTGGCTCTGCCACTAACCTGGGCAACTTGTTGAGCCTACTTCCTCATCTGTAAGAATACTCCAAACATTAGAAGAATGTATGTCAATTGCCTTTTAAGAATCTGTTACATAATCAGTTTGCATACTAGTGATCAGGAGACTTGAAGGAAAGATTTTGCTTGTTGTATGAGTTTCCTTCCTGCTGTGGGTTACCGCAGTGATTTCTTTATCAAAAATGAGGTACAATTAAGAGGTAAACATGTCTCCTGGAGTCATGCTCCTTCTTGAGAGCCTTCTTTTCCAGGGAGTGCCTCCTGGGACCACTGCTCCGGATGGACAGGAAAGAGAAGGCACACCGAGCTGTCATGGGGCTGGTAGGTGGTGAGGACCCTGGGTGTCTGCTCTCGTGCGATGCCTGCC